TAATATGAAATATACGACTAAAGAAGAACTTAAATGTAAATAGTATTATGCCTTATCACTAAGAATTCCCTCGCTAATATTAAACGTCTTCGCCGTCAAAGGGGAAAAGGTTCCCCCACAATAGCCTGGCTGTTAACCTATGTGTCCTCATGCTTGGTTGTGCTGGTCGGGTCTGCTGCCCTGCAAAGGAAACACATCATTCGCGTCTTTCTTAACTCCGCCCCCTGTAGACATAGTGGGGGCCTCGTTAACATTAAATTTCTAGGAGCGCGTAACCCGGATACCTAACTATCAGTGATGAACCGCTGTATGAAACTATTATGTGACTGTATATATAAATAATATTAATACATATTAATCAGTACCATGATCATTTAATCTTTTAACTGTCATAATTCAATTCTTCAACAAACTTTTGCGATGTCTGGTATTCCCACATTTTTTGGATTGCCGATTACGAATCAGAAGATTTCAAAAATACAAAATGGTAAATAAATAATTTAGTTATTAAAAAATTATAACCAAAAACAATACAAAAAATATAAGCTGTACTACGAGATACAAAGAATATCTAGTAAAATTTTTAGCATTTAATATAAAATATTTTTCGAGAAATCGATTTTTCCTGAAGAAAACTTTGTTTTAAATATAATATGATGTAAATAATTACTACTAAACAATTAGATACAAAAATTTTTAAAAACATATAAAGTAAGTGTTTATACATAAGAAAAGCCCAAAACCATGATTGGTTTTGCGAAATTACGAGATTTTCAATATAAAACGGAAAAAAACAAGTGGGAAGCATACCTCCCACTGGAAGTGAAAGGTAAAGTTATTGCATATCAGATTTGATCAATATGGCTACACAGTTCTATTAAACTATTAAAATTTTCTTTTTCTTTACGGCGATTGTTTTTTTAAGTTCTCTCGTACATAGTATATTAATAGTTAATGCATATATAGCTAATGCAATATGTTAATCCATATTTATGGCTTATATTTTAACAAACGTCGAGATATCTAAAAGATACGTCATCCTAATAAAGTTTTACATGAAGGTGTTAAATAGATTTCTAGGAAACGTACAGAGTCAATGCTTAAACCTCCGTCAAGCTAGCACCGGCATAAAGGAAAATCGATAAATGATATACATCATAGTTAAGGGCTGATTTCAGGCTAATTTAATGCTCTGTTGCCGAGTTTAATGCTCCTCATATTTTTAAAAAAGCTTGCGATGGTTCTGGCCCGATATCCAGTTAGCACCGCTACAACGTAAAATACAAAATTATTATAAGGACGTGGAAATACGTTACGTAATAATTAAAAGCTTAAAGGATAGATACACATTGTTTCATGTGAATTAAATCTTTCACGAAAACCAGTACACCATATGTAGATTCCATATATAGTACATATTACATTCGATAAACTGTGACTTTTCGTGTTCCGTAAACCATCAAAATCTTTCACGAATCAAAGGCTCTCAAGGTACCTTAAAGCCCGAATTTAATGCTCAACCACTCGAGGGTGTAAACCGCCCGAGCATCGAAAATATAGCCTGTATCTCTCGATGTCACAGGAACATGAAATGTCACAATTTATCGAATTTAACATTTACTGTATACAATATCCTACTTATGCTGTACTGGTAGCCTAATATCAGCGCTTTATGATGTAAGTCTTTTTTTCGATTTTACTTAGTAGCGGTGCTAATTTGAACGAGGTGATGAGACTATGAGACTATCTGTACAATAAATGCAATGGCGCTAAATTAAAATTTAATATTAAAGTACTATAATTTGTTAGTAGATAAGAAATTATCAGGACAGACTGTTCAACAAAGTGCAAGTATTTTCCAATAATTTCATTTTCATATAAAATTTTAACGTGAAGAGCGCATTGAGAGTCGGTTAGTTTAGCTTTTAACCTGAAATTTGGCAAATCCACGAACCGTCCAATGACGCGTTTATTTGTCGGAGAATTAGGCCAGGTTGGGTTGGGGTAGTGGCGGTATGGCGCTGGAGGTGACGGTAGCAATGGCGACGATGCTGCCGGTGAATCCCTCCATTCAGTACCACTGGATAGAAGCGCGGCGCTGCCGCAATCAGTAAACCTGTAAAACATTGGATTAGGTGGCCTAACCTGACGTTACCCTGGCCACTGGACGAAGCACCGGTTCCCCAATTTACGTGCCATGAAAGCGACCACTATGCGTTATCCAATTCTCTGGAAACAGTTAGAACCTTTTACACTGCTTTCCTGCCTTGTGGAGCCTTATGCATATCTGAAAAGCTCTCGTTGATAATTACTTTTGTGGAAAGTGCGAATAAAAGTATATAATGTATAGTGAACATAAGGCATTTTTGTTAGTCTTAAAAGAATTGTTTACTCTAAAAAAAACTCATTTTTCCAGGTCTCGTTTCTGATATCAAAACTGAACCGAAAATGCCTCAGAATTAAGATCCGGATGTCTTGTGCAGCAACTTCTTGATAACTGGTATCATACTCTAATTCTTGGACTGCGTTATGTACAAGGTATACCTCTTTATCATAATTTAATTGATATAAAAGAATGATTATGGCGCGAGAGAAAGTGAAGGGACAAAGATGGAATGGAAAAAAAAGTTCTTTAATGAACATCAATTATCGATGGATATCTTCACTGAGCGTGACAATTAGTCATTGGGCGTCTCTAAATATTTCCAACATCAATGTAATTATAGGTAATGCCCACGGGTCAATGTTTTTTCCTTTTTAACTTTCTCTTCCCTAATTACTTAGGGCAATGGGAAATTATATTGTCTCTCTTACACACATTGTACATCCATAAGGACTAGAGGCGACAGGAATGATTATCCTAAACCTCCAGTTTTCTAATTTGCGATTTTCTTGGAACATAGTCACTTTGCCGAATGAATTATAATCGTTGATATATCTCATATATCATGTATCACTCGTAACAATTTTGGGTATTAGCTGCTCTAACTGATCCTGATATGGATTCTCATTTGGCATCGAGCGGGATAAGATGATGAGTCTGAGGAATCTTACCATTTTTTAAAAATATGTATGTATGTATATGTAACGTGTATTTTCAGACCAAAGTTTACGTGATCTGTGTATGCGTATGTGGATACGTATGTTTCCTCTATTTTTTTTTCTTCTAGTTTTTACATATGTCATTATCCTTTAGAGGGCCAGAAGATGATATAACGTCTGTGATTGTACTTTTCACTTTATACTCTTCCGATTTCCATGAAGCTTAATAGTAATATATACGTTTAAGGTCGCTCAATTTAAATATTATTTCAAATGTTTGAAATTCAATATGACGGACCAAAATTTGAGAAAATGTATATATTTTCATAAAACTTGGTTTATCTGAAAAACGTAAAAATCAAGTTTTATGAAAATTATATGCATTTTTTAAATTTCGGTACCCCATATTAAATCCGCCAATTTGAATTTAAAAATCTAAAGTTATATTTCAATTCAGTTACCTCAAAAACATATAACTACTGAATTTAGTAGATACGTATTGACTTAAAAATATCTTTTTTTTACCGAGGGTTGCAAGATGCTGTCTCAAAAATAGCGTCTCGTTTTCAAACAAAGTATACATTAAACTGAAAAACAATTGACTAAAGTTAAAAGTGCAAGTTTTGCAAAAATATTGTTCTAAGCTCTAAAATTTAATATAGTAAAAATTTGTATAGTGATGTAATTGATCAACTCTGAATATAATGCATACTGGTAAAACTCTAAGATAAATGTATTTCAGTTCACGAAGTAAACTGATATTACGAAAGTGTAATGAAATTCAAAACTCGGATATTCTTACTAGGCCAAAGATCGTGAATCTCATGAATGTAGCAGGCGTAGTATACGGTTTTCGTCGATATTAAGGTGCCATTACGGCTATAATCAGCGTGGGCTAATGACGTTATGTCCCGATTATCCGACACCGCATAATACCCATTACCACCGTTATAATATATTACGTTAGATTGTGAAAGGAGAGGATTTCGTGGATAGATACCTAGTGATAGAATCAGCGAATTAGTTATCTGGTTACTCCAAATGGTTTCGTTCAAGAATATTATGTAGCTGTAGAACATTTTTTGGAAGCAGAATGGACAAACTATATAAAATGAATATAACATTACAAAATTATAGTAATAACGTTAATAATAATGTTAAATTAATAAATAGTTTAGTTGTATTTGAAAGACTTGTCCTCTGATTTCAAACTGGGCCGTAGGAGCTCAAAAATATTACCAATCATTAATAACTGATTCGTGTATTGGTGTGTACGGTTTCGAGGAATGTAATGAATATTATATCAGACGGAGAGTTAAAAATGAAGAACACCTAAAAATATTCGGAGTAGCTTCTTATCTGTATTCTATAATACACTATATATTTTTACTTACACATCCGCGGCAGGAATGTTTATTTGGGGTAAGGTAGTTTTCCTTCTTCCATCCAATCCAACGGAGTAAATATCGGAGAAATGTAAGTGGGACTAGGCGAGAATGGTCCCATTTTACGCGGGGTCTATCGGCAGGGTTATGAATTCTCTTTGGAAGGGGTAGCTTTTCTGGCTAAAGGACCAAAAGAGGATAGGGGATAGCTAGTAGATGTAACAAAGAAGAGGAAGAAGAAGAAGAAGAGAAGGTTGGAAGGTAGAAGTATATAGAGATGAAAAACAAAAGAAAGAAAAAATGAAAAAAGATGGAAACAGTAAGGGGTAATGCGAGGGGTCGAGGAGGGTGGTGAAAGGAAAAAAAAATTGAAAGTCACCCTGCGCGAGCGCACCCAGCGCTCAGTCACCCCTGACTCAGTTGGCGATGCGCGCGAAAGTCCGTCTTCTGTATAGGGGTGTCAGGAAGGAAGGGTGGTGAGACCGTCGCGAGGGTAGTAGGGAGAATTCAGCGCTGGAGGGTTGGTAAAGTTCTCCAACGCTCGATGGCGTACCAGTGCGGATTGTGATTCTGCGGGACGCGCAGCGTCGCGACGCTCCCTCTCTATCGCAATAAAACGCTCTCGTGTATTATTATATACTTAATTCGCGAGGAGACGAATAATAAAGCCGCTCGAGCTAATGCTGGAAATGTTGCACTTTTTATAAGGTTCAACTTCACTTTTCGTATGTACTACGCAAACTTTTTTCTCAATTAAGAAAGTTGAGACAAAACCATTGGTGAAGTTATCCTAAAGGACCGTTTTCATCTGAGTGTATCCCAACCAGCTGAGTGGCGATATCGTCGTCCTTTCCCTGAAAGAAGAAGAACTGTTTCGCGAAACCGGTTTCCAGTGTTCCTCACGACGTTGCCGATAGTCAGTGCTGCCAACATATACGCGATTTTTTTTTCTTATCATTCTTCCCTTCTCACTTGTCCCTCCTTTTCTTCTTCTTTTCACTTTTACTTCTCTTGCACCTTTTGGTATACCACCTCTACCGCACTTGCTCTATCCGAATGCCACTGGTTCTCGTTCTGATGCTGGAGCTCGTGCAGCATCCTCACTTCCAGTAAAAGGGTTCAGTTGTTCCGCGGGCACGCAAGTTGCACCTTGCATTGCATCGAGGTCGACCGGATTCCCGTTTCCATAATAGAAATTGCTTGGAACATCGGACTCCTATAACTTTCATATAGTTAGCCGCGCCAGAGTGATATGTATTTTTTGGAAGTACTGACAACAGTGCGATTTGATTGAAATTTTCTATACGTTTCTTCGTTTCTTATTCATTCATGAATTAAGTGAAACTACGGATAGTGTGCCGAAAAGTGTTATGTGAATACGTGTGTTTCTATTATCTAATGATTATTATTGGTGAACGTATACCTCTTTCGAAAGTACAGGTTGCATCCAAGAGCATAGACTACAAGGTTCTATGAACTGCAAGCGCAGCAGGGGATTCTATTGTGCAGTTATAATTATTTGCAACAAGTGCATCGCTTCGGGAACGTGAATAGTTTCATTAATAAAAAGAAAAGAGGAGAGAGAAAGCAAGAGAAACTCGATATCTTTCTTAAAACAGTGAAACAGTTACTGTTGAAGTGTAATTTTTTTTCCATGAAAGTTTCGCACGATAGCTTCATAGTGAATATCGATTGGATTGATCTGACGTAAACCTACTTAATTTTTGTCATTGGACATTCTATTAAAAACAAAATAATTGATATTGTGTAATAATAATAATTAAATGTTGTTCTCTCTAAATTGATGTTACCCAAAAATATATATACTTTCCTAGTGTTGAGCGTAGTGATAACGATAAGACGACCCTTTATTAAAATGAATTAACTAACAACTATTCTCTACTGTCTGTGTGCAAGAGTGCGTGCATCATTGTAAAAAGACATTTATTTAACACTTTAAATAGATACACTTTCATATACTTGGGCATTACGTAAATCATATAAAAGTGAAAAGTACGAAACAAGTGATAATGAAAACGTGAACTCTACCTAATGGATCTTTTAATTCGTTTCTAAGAAACCTTGCGAAACAAAGTCTAAGCAACGATAAAGAGTTAGAATAGTGGCAAAGTGATGAGCGGCATTAGGTAATTTAAAAAAAAAATTCTGTACCCCGCGAGCGTGAAGTTTTGTTCCGCGTTTCACATATGTGGAAACGAGTTCGTGAAATAATCGCAGCGATGGATCTGTGGAAACGTTCCTGTACTTATCCACACGCTTATCTGCTTTGGATTCTCGCAAGGATCATATTTGTCAATGGATTATATGGTGAGCCTGTTATTTGTCTTTTGAGAATGCGCTTTTCTTCTTATTTTGTTACTTTACTCTTTCGATTTTAAACGAGTATTGCACGCGATGCAATTTACTGCATAGGCCTTTTATAGATCGACAGATCGGCGTGGTGTATATGCGTCTATCCTACTGTAAGGTGTCTACCTATCTAACTACTTTAGCTAGTTTCCTACTTGCTACGAGTTCTAAAATCACAATGGCCCCCCAGTGGCTGCTACAGACAACACTTAACCACGGTGCTAATAGCAATATTTATTCGGTGCTCCGATAATATTGGAGAGGGGTGTGCTTGAATCCACTGTATGCCTCTTTAAGGACGTACGACTATCAAAACAAATCCAACTCTAATAGAACTAAATTTTTGTTATGTTCTTGGCAGGTATATAACCTTTGTTCGTGCAAAGTTTCTAATAGATCGATTGTCCCTTTTCTGAGATATACACAGTAAAAGTAACCTAAATGCTACAATACAAATATAACCGTCGTGTTAAATTGACGTGATCGATTTCGGTCTCTGAACAATGAAGAATTCACGAAATTTTTATACGACAATTATGTCATATTAAAAATGACTATCATAGTATTTTAATAAAGACAGTTGGAATTATTTTTTAAACTTTTTGCTACTATATTTAAACAATACAAAGTGTGAAAATTATATAATTTATATATCTCTGATCTTCGGCTTGGTTCAATGATGATATGTTAGGTAGGAAATATTTTTGAGAGTGACATTATACCGTTTATTCGCGATAGGATGAAAACTACTATGTGTAGGAAATACTCTTACTTCCTTTACTAATATTTGTAATTGTCACGGGGTTTAGAATCAAGAAAAACAATGAGAAATCCTACTCTTGTGTATATAAAACTGTTAGAAAAGACAAACGCTATAATAGGAAAAATCAAGGCTTGTCAATTCTGTATTCCCAAATCGTTACGACATACCCTGGTTAATTTGTAGACCTTTATCCTCATTAAATCCTACCTGAAAATTTTAATGACTAATCCCCAGTAGAGTGTGTGAAGGGAGGGGGAAGATACAAGGTGAGGATGCGAGTGACTTTGTATATCTGTATCATTAAAAAAATGCGATTTTCGCTTTTTTTTTTCAAAATTCAATATCTCCAGTTCTAATTGGCAAATGAAAAAAAAATAAAAAACCCATTTGAAAGTTGCGGAAAGGAGCATTATCGGCTACGTTGCTTCGGTGGTATTTTTGATGAATAAAATACATGTTTGTTATATTTTACTATAAAAATATCTAAATTAATAATTAAATTAAATTACAAATTCATTATTTTCAATTTGCGGTGCATAGTGGGCTTCTGTGCCTGTTTGCGCCAAAAAAAGCCTTGCTTGGTCGAAAGCACTGTATTAATCCTTATACGCCCCTTTAAAATATTTATACATAAGATCATAATGGGTGATATTTCACCCAACCGTATTTTGCAATGAACCAATCACTATACTATTTCATAAAATTTCAATTCACTTTATTGTGTCATATTTTACTGGTTTTACATGATTATTAGAGAAATTTGAAATTTTACAGGTAGGGCAATATTAAATACCTTACTATTATCTGTAACTGCTGCTGCACCTACTAAGACGATAAAGCGTCACGACCGCTCAGACCGCCTAATCCTACTTTTCCAGTTCAGCAGCGAAAATGTAAACAAAATATTCAGATCGCTCTGCTTATTTGAATTAGTTTAGCAAAGGCTAATCATGTAACATGTTCATTTATGTAAAATATTTTATTAAAGCGATCTCAATTTTATCATTTCTTGACGTTAGGCTCTGCATCAAATAAATACATTAAAGGTCGATTCTATGATGTGATTCGAAAATGGGTGAAATATCACCCAAGGAGGGTATGAGGGTTAAAGAGCACACGTAATTTGCTATTCTTGTTGTATTACACAATACAACAACACTTTATTGTGCTAAACCATATAGAGTTTCCGAGGAGATGCTCTACCGTTTCCGCTTCTCCAGATCGAATACCATAGCAGCTGAAATTTGCTCGAATCGGCTTAACCCTCGATACATACACTTAAAACACAACATAAACATTGCTATGCCAATAGAAGGGAAAGTCAGGCACTGCACTCTCCTTAAGACGTGATAGTATATATAAGTGAGGATAGTGCGTGTCAGAGTCGCTTTATTGTTTCCGCATGTCCTGCACTACCCTTGTCATCAAATTCACAGACGACCATCAAGCATCAAACCCCGTGCCTAGCTTTGCTCAATCTTGCCTTTCCTTAAGAATGCCTATTGCATTATTAGATTTTTTTTTCATCGTCTTTACTTATAAATAAATAAATATTAAACCTTTGAAATTAAAAATGTTTAAGTGCACTTACTGTATTTATGTGTCATCACAATACAATAATTAAAAATTCGTTTTCAAAGAAATTTCTGGTATACCGACAAGAGTACACGGGGCACTTAATACCCTGGAGTCTCCATGTAATACGTTATAGCACCAATGCCACTGAATAACTGACACTGACAGCTGTCTCTTCCATCTTTAAAGGGTTTAAAAAAGATCATGACGGAGGTGAGAGTCGATTTCAGGCTCTGTTTATATCTGATCCTCATCCGTCTGAACTCTGGGCTGGGCACTGGATGTCGATGTACCCGCCAGGGGTTAATACAACTCGAATATATTATATGGACTTTACTTACCAATACGGATTATAGTAATGACAAAGTCATGGCTCCTTTGAATACCTTATTTGTACCCTCTCGCAGGGTATGATATATGGTTTAATGATACTCCCTTCGATACGCTTTTTCTGCTTAATATCGATTCATCGATGTGACATATCGAATAAAAAACGATTAATCAAGAGACCACCGATTATAATGAAACCAGTAACTATGGATTTGAACATTACCGCGTCCATACGTCATAGTAAAAGTGCGCCATCTCGTTTAACAATGATTAAGACAGGGCTCGCGAACCGGAAGCTCACCCCTTTCGTCAAGCAACTGGCAAGTGGATGACTAAATACACCTGAACTCCAAGGCGATGTTAAATACCATTAATAGACGACCTATGTCGAATTATTCGATGACGCGTCTGAAGACATCGAACAGATAATATATTTACATACACTGGAGCATCATTTTTTATAATGTCCTTGAGCTTTGACTGTATGCGATATGCTTAATTTATTGTCAGCGTGCGCGATCGAATGTGTTTCTCGTGTATGTTTTTATATAAATTTAATTGCGTGAGTATTGTTACTATTGTAATTTTTATAAATTTGACGTTTGGAGAACGCTTTTCGTTTTATTATTGATTTATTTTTTATTAAGTAAAAGAAACTATACGGTTACAGTTAGACTATTGGCTTACTTTCATAGATTATTAAAATTTACATGAACATTCTTTGTCTAATAAATTGGTAATTTATATTCATTTCATTGGAATAATTGCTATTTACGTTTATTTCATATATTAAAGTTGACTACGATATTACACGGTACATGCCTGCTAGTCCAAGACCAACATTTATTAGGATCTTTTTTTTATTAAAGGGAATATTATCGCCATATGTGCTCTGTATTATACACTAATAATACATATTTTAATTTACCTTTTCTTCTTTATACATCGTGCCTATACACTGTACACGCTCAGTGCCCTGTGAGTTACTCGCGTTGTGCTCTCATATAGGCGACATTTTATTTTTTTCCATAAAATAATTATTTTATATACAATAATCTTTTGTTGTGGTACACGCTTATGGGGTTTGCATATATTTATACATATATGTATGTTTATACGGAATTTCAAAACGCAAGCATACAGATGTATTGCGTATATTAGTATAGTATATACTGTAAAATTGCAAATGGGTCACATATTATTGTGTATTTTCTATGGTTTTTAGTTGATCATTCATATTACTGATTGATAAGTATCGCCATCTAAATACTGTAGAGTCACATTAAGTTATATCGCTTAGTTCAAAACAATAATATCTTCCATTATTGTTATACCAAATGCGTGGACGATTCTTGAAACTTCTTAACGACGACGCCATTCGTTCGAACGCCACTATTCCAGGAATGTGGTGGAATGCTTACTGCATCCAGCGACAGCCACCACCTCACGCGGAAACTCTTGAAAATTCATGTGTGATGAATGAAAATTTGTTAAACTTCTTTGTGTAGATATTTTTAGATTATAAGCGACAAATTTTTTGCAGTTCTGCGACGAGTCTTAGTATACAAAGAAGACGTATGAGAGACTCGTTCATCATATGTGACATATACTTACAAAACAAGATCTTATATTCGTCTTACCCATTTTAAATGTACTATCAGCTATAACTGGCTTAGCTATTTCGAATTTATTTCATTAGCCGTTTATTTTTCGTGATGCTGCGATACTCGGTTGTGATAAATTTTAAACTGTTGAGCCTGATGTTCGTAGATCAGATACTCAAGTTTTGAACAAGGACCACAGAGCCTTTATTGATTCTAAATCGACATTCCCGATATAAAAGAGGTTAGCAATGGTTATTATCTATTATCGCATTAATTTCTTCTCGAGAGAATGGAGAAAATAAACCATGAATCTGGAACATTATCTTTTGAATTTCATCATTTATTTATTCAAAAGTATTATACATAACAATTATGAACATACAAGTATTTTTGTTTATTAATATCCAGCGATATATGTATAGGCTGGTTTTATTTAACATGAGTGTATTCCAAAAATTAGGACAATATAAATATTGCTTTTATGGTTAATGAAATTATTGTAATTTTATTCATTGTCCTGCCTAAGCAATTTTCATTTTCAAGTTAACAATATTTTGTCTCGAATCCGTCTTATATAATAAAAAACCGCATCATACAATAAAGTTGCAATATGCATCTTTCGCATCCATGTATAATTATCAACCCGTCGCTGGTTTTGATACTAATTAGACACGAAGTCATGATTA